AAAAAAAAAAAAAAGCAAAGAGAATCCATGGTAGAAAACATACAAATTAAATCAAGTGGCCATTGGATGAAAATGCAACACATCCTGTTGTAGTTGCGGGTAATAAGAACAAGAGACCGATGGAAGAATGCATGGTTCCACCAGAAGTAGAAAGCAAATCTAACATTCGAGCGAGCTAATTTTCACTTGAGGACAGATATAATAAATATGATCCAAAATGCATTGCAATTCATTGGGAAAGCCACTGACAATCCAAATGTTCATATCTCAAGGCTTCTGGACATGTTGCAACAATTGAATTTTCAGGGGTGTTCAGTTATGCAATTTGGTTGAGACTCTTTTGATACATTTCGAGAGATTCAGCAAGTGAATGATTGGAAACATTCCCACCTTACGGCATCAATACTTCGGACAATCTAAGCTAGAAATTCCTGACAAATATTTCTCACCAAAGAGGATTGCCAAGTTGAGGGATGAAATCACTATATTCTCTCAACTTGATTCGGAGCACTATTACAAAATATAGGGGAGATACAAAGGTTTGCTTCAATAATGTCTACAACATGGTCCATAGAAATGGTTCCAAGTCCAATACATCTATATTGTGTTAAATCTCACTAGTTGAGCTAATGTTGACTCTATTCGTGATGGGTCAATTACAAAAAGGACAACGAATCAAGTATATTAAATCATAGAGGATCCAGCTTATACTAGTGCATGATGGCCAACTGAGAGATCAGGTGCTGGCCCTACGGAAACACCAAAGGCTTTTGGGGCTTACACCTATATATTAGACGACCTAAAAATTTTTAACACAGCTAACAGCACTAGCTATAAAGGTAAATGTTATGGCAACTAATCAAACAGTGGAAGCAGTTCAAGTAACTGGGCGGAGATTCAACCATCGCAGAGGGAATCATGAAAGCATAGATTGTAATGGAGGGAGTCCATTTGGTCAATTGGTTGAGGATGCAAACTACATGCAAACTTATCGGAGTAACAGAATAATCTCCATTCCAATACATACAATATAGGTTAGAAATCACCCAAACTTCTCTTGAAGTAGCAACCAGTCTTCTCAAGGTGCACAATATCAGAATGCTCCACTAGGTTTTCAATAGTAAAAAAAAACCCTTTCATGGGAAGAAGCATGTGTTAAAATAGCTGAAGTACCAACCAAATACATGCAAAAGACCGAGAATAAATAGAAAATTCAATTGGCTGCTATACAGAATTTGGAAAATCAGATGGGATAAATAGTTAAGGCACTTTCAGAAAGACAGTGTGAGACCCTGCCAAGCGATACGAAAAAGAATCCATGGGAACAGGTTTATGCTAGCACAACCATAGAGGATGATGTGGACTACACTCCATTAATTAAATTTGCTCCATCTACACGAGAGTATGTGCTACCATCTCATTTCCTTAAGCCTTGGAAAAAGGGTTGAAGAGGACATAGTTCACGAAAAAAGCTTGAAGAGGAAATAGTTCACGAAAAAGGCTTGAAGAGGAAATAGTTCACGCAATTACTACGCGGCTTCCAGAAGATATAGTAAAGGGACAAGTAGTATTGCATGAAATAGGTACCTTCTACACATAAGGAGCATGTGACTCAGTCTAAACAATTAGAAAAAATCCTTCCAAATCAAAATTCAGATAATTCGACAATCGCTCCTATCAAGACATATGTGCATCATGTCCCAATTCTTCAAAGATTGCAAAAGAAAAAGCTCAAAGGACAGTTTACAAAGTTCTTGGACATATCAAGAAAGTTTCATGTCAGCATCTCATTACTTGAGGCAATATCTCAAATACTAAGCTATACAATGTTCTTAAAGGAGATCTTATCAAATAAAAGGAAGCTCAGCGAGTTTGAGACCAACACGATGAATG